TCTACCTTTACGGTGAACTAAATCAAAAGTATGAGTCCTCAACTTCATAGCCCAACGTGCAAGTTTTCCTGTGGGATTTTTGAGATTATTAAGCCATAACAATGCTTGGCAATCAGTGACATCCGTAAATTTAACACCTTCAATATAACCCCTGAAACGATCGATATTAAATAAGAGAGCCAGACATTCCTTCTGAGTTGAACTCAGGTTTCGATCCGTTTTAGTGGGAGACCTACTAGCATATGCTATTACTTTTTCGACACCAGCAATAATTTGGGTGAGGATACCTCTCAGTCCATCACTAGCATCACTCTGGATAGTGAAGGGCAAAGAAAAGTCAGGTGCGGAAACAAGAGCCTGTTTGACTTGAAGAAAAGCTTTCTCGGCGTCAGAAGTCCATTGGATAGGTTGATTTTTCTTTTTACCTTTTAAGAGATCGTGAATGGGAGCCATTAAGGAAGAATAGTCCTTCAGAAATCTTCGATACCAACCACGTAAGCCGGATTTTTTTTTATTTGAGTGATATTGGTTGGACGTGGATAATTAATCATAGCGGAAATTTTTTCAGGGTCTGTTCTCAAACCATCTGATCCTACAATATAACCAAGAAACTTGAGAGATGTTCCAAAGAATTCACATTTATCGACATTGATTGTTAAATTAGCATCTTTTAAGATGTCTTTAACTTCAGAAAGTAACTTAACATGTTCTTCAAATGTGAAAGAAATTATTGCAATGTCATCAAGGTAACAAAAGATATTGGGCTCATAACGAGGACCAAATAAACTGTCCACAAGTCTCTGTTGAACTTGGGCACTATTGCACAAACCAAAAGGAACAGAAGTAAATTGAAACAATCCACGACCCATATAGAAAAAGCTGTTTTGTCTCGAGAATCTTCGTCAAGAGGAATTTGCCAGAAAGCTTTACGGAGATCTACAGAAGATATAAAATTTTCACCACGCAACATGCTGAGAATTCGCTCTATATTAGGTGAGGGATAGCAATCATGTTTCGTTTGCGCATTTAAAAATCGACCATCAAAATAAAATCTCATTTCACCATTGGATTTTTTCACCAGAAGAACGGGACAAGAATATGGGCTTTTTGAAGGTTCAACGACACCTAATTTAAGCATATCGTCAATCTCTTGATTTAAAATTTTTAACATGTATGGCGACATGGGATATTGCTTTCTTTTAAAAGGTTTGGCATCACCGGTATCAATTTTCATAGAAATTTTATTTGTTCTGCCAATCTGAGTATCGCTAGATATTTCGTGAAAAGAATCCAAAACTGACTGAGCAAGGGTACGCTGGTTATCTGACAAATCATCCAAGGTAAAAAGTGAGGTAATATCGTAATTATGATTTTGGAAATCAAAGGTAGAAGTATTTTGGAAAAACCAGGTATTTTTACTGAAATCCACTATCAATGAAAATTGTCTGAAAAAATCGCTACCAAAAATAAAACTGTGTACCAAGGACGGTACCACTAAAGCTCTTAAGACTTGACAAGTATCATTAAGGTAAATAGGTAAATCAATAATACCGCTAACTTTCTGTTGTGTGCCATCAGCTAGAGCTACACACTTAAAGGAAGAAGGATTTATGACAATATCGGAATTTTTGAGGAACTTTAAACCTTCTGAACCAACAATGGAAATCGTTGCGGCACTATCAAATAACCCGACAACTTCAAAGTCAAAAATATTAACCTTAATGGACAAACATAGGAGCTGGTTCAACGGTATGGTTTTCAAGTTCTGAAAAAGGTATCGAAAAAGATACAAGATAGTTCTTGTGGAATTCAAGGTAAGTGATTTGTTCGGTAGAAGGATAGGTATTGTAAGTAAGATAATTGGCCGATAAGGTAGGTAATATACAATGGCCTTGTCGTATACCACCAGAATTTAGTTTTTTGGATTACAGGTAGGACACGTTTTTACGGTTACATCTGCTAAACCACAACGAAAACAGAATTTCTTTCTCTGGTAACGACAATCAAAGTAAAAATGACCAGTGCCATCACAATTCCAACACTTGCGTTCAGGAGCTGAGCGGTAATCTGAGAATTTCGAGCTGAAGGCTGAGAATTATTTCGGGAAGATTGTGAGTTACGGGAAAAACTAGAAGAACTAGGACTTTGAGAACTACTCGAGACTGCAGAATTCTGAGAATTATTTCTGGAGAAATGACTGTTTGCAGAAACTTGATTCCTAGGGAACTGTTTATGCTTCACTAAATTCTTCTTCCAAATTTTTAACTAGAATAATGAGTTTATCAACGGAATTTATTTCTTGAAGTATTCAGGGAATAAGTTTTGTTTAATATACTATTCTTAGTTGGTTCGACAGGTGGACATGATAGACGAGAAAAGAGACTCTCCATTTGAGATGCGAAAATAGAAATGGTTTAGAATTTTCTCTGCTTTCTGGTTTTAATTCGATCCCATATTTCATCGTGACATTTTGGAGGAAGGAAATCCAATTTAATTCTATGGGTCAATTCGTCCCAGGTACTGACTAAGTTTTGACATTTCTAAACCATATTAGGCCATCACCAGAATATAATAAAGTGGCAGACTTGAAAAGTTGTTCTTCGTTAACCTCATATGCGGCAGCAAGCTCAGACACTCTCTCAAGAAAATCATATACTCTTCTGGAATCTCTAGTGAACTTTAAGTTCCATTCAGGGATGACATTTCTATTATTGGAACAAGATAAGGTAGCGGGAAATACAGAAACATTTGGTTGATGAGCCAAGGTAGATTTAGCGAGAGCAGGTGGAGCTTGAGCGCCCTGAAATTGGTCCACTTTTTCATGAGTATCAGCATCAAGAGTAATACAACGGACATACGCCTCATATTTATATTGCTCAACTTGGTCTACAGTTTCATCCTCAGGGAGGATAAGTCTTTGGATACGTGCCATTACATGCGCAAGACGGGTTTTGATTCTGAGGAATAGCGTATCAGAAGGATTGCCTTCAAAGTCAGCAACCAAGGTAGTAATGCTAGCAATTGTGGTATCAATTTCTAGAGACTCGGTAGGAAACTTAAAGGTAAATTTATAGACACCAACGTTTGTAGTAGTACCCTGAGCTTCTTTATCTAAAAGACGCTTTTAAAGTTTTATTTTTTCAAAACGACCACAGGTAGCAAGGACTCCTCTAAGCTTCAGCTCATAATCAATTTCAGACACAAGTAAATGCCGGGGGCTAATAGAATCTGCCATATTTGATTATTTTCACTAATTAAAGGTATAGGAAAATATGTTACTGTCAAAATAAATTAATTCGAAATCACTCACGTAATAATACTGGTACATCTGTGACTGGTACACCCAAAGTCAAGTCGTTGAGTTATGCCAAAAGACAAGATAAAAGATCTGGAGATTTAAGATAAATCCTCCAATATATAAGTTATAGCACCCAGGGTTAAAAATTGATCAATTTTTGACGCTATAGGTACTTATACACAATAGGTTTAAATTTAGAACATGTTGTCCAACCTTGACTTTTGTTCAGATTACTTATCGATTACTATTGATAAAAAATGATAAAATATAAGGCAAGATTAAAAGTGATGTAAAGAAAAATCCATAAAAAATTCGATAAACTGAAAGCTAATTTTTCGCCATCGTGTCAAGAATAAATTTGTATAAAAATCCTATGAAAAAAATTATCTTAATTTTGTTAATTGACTATAAAAATGATTTTATGAAATAAAAGGTATTAAAAGTTATTAGTGAAAATTTATACAAGCCTCCATTCCAACATGAGGCAGAGTACGGTAGCCATCCATCTTCGGCCAGTTGACGAAGGAAACTGCACCTGGAACTTGCGGATTTTAGCCTAGAATCCAGGTAGATAAGGGACTAGAATTATCGACAAATCTGGGGCACATGTATCGACTTGTGCGGGTCTAGATTCTCGTATGGTAGGAATCCTGTCAAAACCTCTATGCCACCTCCACGAAAATGGTGATACTATTGAAAATGCGGCCTTTTTGGAATGGACTTGTTGAGAGAAGCAGCTCTCCGAAAGACCCTAAGTAATAAGGCATTCCTTGAAAAGCTATTACTTAAAAAAAAAATTTAAAAACCTATTGAAATTTAAACTGGAATTAAATGGCAACCACAAGACTTTTTGATTCAAATTTTTTTGCAATCAACAGATTATTGCCTCATGCAACTTAATTTTGAGACAAGGTAATGCCTGAAGGCCGATAAGGTACTTTATTTTTCTACGGGACGGTTGTCTCGAGAAGATGGCGATTTTCAGCCGATCGACCTCGCAGCTCGACGACACAATTCGAAAGGGGAGAGAATTGGTAAGGACCGGGTGAGCATACAGCGCTTCCTCTCCAGATAGTCAACGGAAATTGTTGGTACTAATCGTTGCGTCAAATTTAAATGAAAATTGCGCTCTCTAGTGTAATAATTTAATAATTGCTATATAATAAGTAGCGGGAACCCTGTATTTTTTTATTGCTAGTCAAACGACTGTCGACATTAAAAAGGGTTATATAAAGTTAAATTTGAAAGAAAAAAGGACAAGTTACTTTAAACGTTACAATATACTGAAAACAAGAATACAGTCCATAAATCTGACCTGTCGTGCCCCTACAGATAGTATTTTTGTTATATCTACTACCTATTTGGTTAAGAAATAGGTAATTCGTATTTCTAATTCAAGCTACCTATACTTTATGTTATAATACTAACTCAAATTTAGTTAAGGAACTGATATTAGACACGTAAATAGCGGAAATTAAAGGGATGTCACTGTGCCCTTATTTATATCTGTTGTTTTTAGGAGATAAGTATGACTAAGTGCCTATCAGAATGGAACTGGAACCGGGTAATTTAATCATAATAAATGGGACAAGATAAAAATAGCTACAGCTTAGCATAAAATATATTAAATAATAAAAAATACATTATAAATTTACTATAATTTATGTACAATATACATACATGGTAATTACAATATTATTATTTGGAATTCAGCTTCAGTAAGCTGTCAAATTATTATTAGTTGCAGTTAAAATAAATTAAAAACCAAATTAGCCATATTAATTGTTTTGTGCTATTAGGAACTGCTTTCAAATATATCAGATAAAATACTGAAATTACAATTTCAAATTTATCGGGTAATTTTTTTTTAATTTTAGCTCAATTTATCAACAATATTAAACTCAAGTAACATATTTCAATATCCAAGGGACAAATTTCGATATTCTAGTACACACGCCAGGTAGATTAGCTTCAGCGCATCCGATACCCCACGAAATGATACCGGCCAAAAAAAATCTTCCATCTCGTCCTTTAACTTGCAGAGGTCCTCCCGAGTCACCTTGGCACGAGTCTTGACCTCCGCCTTCGTGACCAGCACAAAGGAAAATCTCCGGAATGATTTCTTGACGACCTGCTTTCAGAAACATGAATTTACATCGGTCGTTGCTTACGATTGGAACTTGGACCTACAATAATTCTCGGTTGTAAATAATAATTTAGATCTTTATAGTGAATTTACCTCTTGCAAAACTGAAGGTAAAGTTCCACCTTCACTTAATCGACCCCAGCCTGTTACAGTGGCATTTTCACCAATCAGAAGGTCGTCTGTGGCTGGCAAACAAATTGGACGAATGTGTGGGGCAAAATCTACAGCTTTGTCTAATTGAACCAGAGCCAAATCGTACTCGTAGGTGAAAAAGTTATATTTTGGATGGACAATTTTTTTGGCTACCGATCTCTCTGCGTAGGGAAGGTCTTCTTGGATGTTGGAAAAATCATATTCACCCACGCGAATTCTTATTTGGGACGTAAGTAAACTGGAAGAGAAAAAGAAAATAATAATGGTACATTTACTTCTGATATTGGTTGTGTTTTAAAATTGGTTGTCGTAGACAAATAAGTCATGGAATTTCATTAGAATATTTTGTACCCAATTAACCCTTAATGAATCCATGAACAAACTATAGTGAAATTTGGCCCGAAAATAAAATTATTATTATTCTACTAAAATTTGATACTTTCGAAAACACAAATGAAAACCCCATAATCTGTTTTATTCGCGATTTTAGTAGAGAATTGCTGTACTATTTTGTGTTGAATCAGGCTGGTAATTGAAAAACCGACGTTGGCGTTGTGCTGATTCGAAATAGAAATAAAACATAATCATTTTGCTGTTATCGGATTTTGTTTTTCTTTCTCATAAAAAAATGTTATTTATAGAAGAGTGTATATTGCGGAAAATCAGTTTTATTGAACAGAGAAAACTTTGACAAAAACAACGTATCCCTGAACAAAAATAAAACCCACAACTTCGTCGTCATTTTTATCCAAATAGCACCCCTGGTTCATATCTGAAAATGTTTTATATGGATTGAAGATACGTTTCACCGGGTAACTTACTCGTCGACACAATGGCCCGCCGTGGCAATCCAATTTTCGTTGAGGATGGCGCCCCCGCATCTGTGAGTGCTCGAAAACCCGAAGAAGGATGTTCGACGAACCGATACCTGAAAAACAATCATATAGAATTACTTTGACCTTGTTATTGTTGGCTAAATAAATTAAGGATATTTTATTATACGGTATGTTTCATTACTCAGAATAGTACGAATCTCCACTATTTACTTTTCTATGTGCATTACCATAATTTATAGAACTATGACTCAGTTATTTGGAAAAATAAACATACAAATATGTATCTACAGATATTTTTATCTTTAAATTGATCGTTATAAGAGATTTGATCGCTTGAAATAATGAAGTATTTTCCCCAATAGCATATTTGAGATCAAATGTTGCTCATTCCAAAAAGAAACTTAAAGTAAAAGGACTAATGTCCCAAAACAGATATATAAAAGTAGCATGTCAAAAATTTCTAATTAGGAATCAGGTATAAATATACGAAACTAGAGAAATAAATGGAGACACCACAAAGAAGAAAAAAATAATTTAAAACCCATCATCAAGGTGTTCTCTGGATATGTGAAATGTATCCCAGCTATTTGTATGTAAAGAGCTCGAAGTAATGCTTTGTCACTTGACGAGAAAATTTCTCGAGAGTGACAAACAACTTTGCGCTCAAATAAGTCGAACGACATTTTCTACACTACAAATAGGCGGAACATACTCTTTTGCACTTCCAAAACACTACTTCTCGGTAAAAATCTCCGAAAGAATCACTTACTGCGGCTGTAGTTAGACCCCTAGTGAGAACTGAGTACTGGGTTGGGATTCTGTAACGAATAGAGATATTTTTGCTATCTCTATTGACGTTTCCTCTCTGATTACGAAAAGTGTTAAAAAGTGGCGAGCTGATAATTCTTGGAGATTTGAACGCACATGTAGGGTCGGATTCTGTCGCTTGGGATGGTGTCATTGGCAGGCACGATCTATTTGGTGAAAACTCAAACGATCTTATGCTTTGATCGCAATATAATCTGTGTATAACCAATACTATATTAAGACAAAGAAATAAACATGGCAGCACCCACGGTCTAAACAGTGGCACATCTTGGATTACGTTATTGTTAAACAGAAAGATATAGCCGACCTACTCTCAACAAAGGTTAGAAGAGATGCAAATTCCTTGACTGATCATAGGCTGGTTGTTTCTGAGATGCAGTTTAGAATACACAGAGAAAAGATCAATAAAGCCACTCCCGAATGTGGAAAGACTGAAAAACTCACACGCTCTGTCGGATGGACAGACTTCTGCGAGGGTTTATACAGAGTTGCATATGAAACGCTGAGTAGGCCAGAAGTCACATTCAGGATTGGTCCAATGCAAATAGTGTTGAACTGGCAAATGCCATCACCGTACACTCAGAAGCTCTTCGACAATGGGAAAATAGTAGACAGAACGTAGATCTTTGGCGCAGTGTAAATAAGTCTCACTGGAAAATCACTGGAACACTTAAGAACAAATGGTGGCAAGAACAAGCTACAGAAATGCGAAATCTGAGCGAAACTCACCAAATGGGTGTCTTTAATAATAGAATGAAGAGTGTCTTGGGCTTTACCAGGAAGACATCAGTGCCAGTTCACGCACTGGATGGTAAAAGGCTTACAGCTTAGACAGGGTCGCTGGCATGAGCACTTTAGCTCTGTACCTAATGCAGACAGTACGGCTGACATGGACTTATAAAATTCACTGCCACAAAGAGAGTTCATTCTAGGCCTGGATGGAACACCAAGTAAAAAGGAAGTTTATGTTGCTATTAGTCAACTTAAGAGTGGTAAACGTTGAGAAACAAAATCCATGGTTTCATAACACACATGTGGGTGCCGATGGAGTTTAAAGAATCTTCAATATGCGCGTTATACAAGGGAAAAGGCAGTACCTCGGACTGTAACTCTTACATAGGCATATAACTCTTGGACATAGGTGGGAAAATTTTAGCCAGGATAATCGTAAACAAACCTGTCTTTGAAACTATTCTCCCGGAGTCTCAATATGGGTTTAGAGCGAAAAGGAAAACAACGGATGCCACGTTTATAATCAGACAACTGCAAGAAAAATTTCAGGAACAGAACCAGCCTTTTTTTGTGTGCTTCGTTGACTATGAAAAGGCATTTGATCGCGTGCCAAGAAACGCACTCTGGGTTGTTTTGGAAAAACTCGGCTGCACCCATAAATCTCTAAACATGATAATGTTATTCCATGACGGCATGAAATGCAGAGTTATGATTGATGGAAAAAGGAGCGATGACTTTGAGGTTACCGGCGGTGTAAAGCAGGGGTGTATGCTGGCACCGACGCTGTTTGCTTTGTTCTTCTGTATGGTAATGAGAATTGGTATGGAGGGAATGTTTGTTGCGCTGCATATCAAATACCGTTATCATACAGGTCTGAACAAACTTTACAGACTTAAGGCTCTGTGGTGGAACCCTTGCGCATAATAATTGGAATTCTCTATGCTGACAATTTTGTCATGTTGTCAACTCTTCAGAGACCTTGCGAGAATGCGTTCCTCGTTTAAATGAAGCGTGTAACAAATTTCGACTTAAAATAAACATCCGTAGGACAGAAGTAATGCAGCAAACTCCGAAGAACGCACATGAACTTCCTCCTCTAATGAACATTCATATTGACAGCACAGAGTTGGAACAAGTAAGTCGCTTTAAGTATCTGTGCAGTATCATAACAGCCGATGTTGGGTGGACACTGATGTGAATACTGGAATTGCGCAGTCATTCTTGGCCTTTGGAAAGTTGCTCCAGAAACTTCTTAAATATCATGACGTAAGTTTTGAAACCAAGATAAAAGTGTACCATGCAACTTACCAACTCTTTTGTATGGATCAGAATCATGGGTGGCACATTTTGAAGCTTGACCAATTTCACTTGAGATGTCTAAGAACAATACTGACGATAAAGTAGAATCACTATATAAGAAACACCGAAGTTCTGCGTGGAGCACAAATTGATGGCATTGATTTGATGAATCATTGAAGATAGAAGGCTTCAAGAACTGAATGCACACAGAAACAAGGTTAAACAAAGGGAAATAATGGTTGCTATCTCTATTTTTGATGAAAATGGAAAAATGTCCTCAGTGCGAGAGAAGGTTTGTTAACCAACTGGGATACCATAGCCACCAACGATTCCGACATCATGAGAGAGCTTTGGATAAAAATATGAATTTGTAATGATCGCTGTTGTCGCATCGGTAAGGAATGGATGATGATGATGATTGATTTCGAAAAGAGAGGAGTAGTGCCATGCCGATAGGGATAACGATCTGTTTCCATTATAGAATCCCGCCTCTGATTTGCAATTATTTGTCCATCAAACATGGTTGCAGTACACCTAGAGCTTGATGGTGCAATGTTAGAAATGGATGAACGAATGAATGCGACCTGCAAATATTGATTGTGTGCCCCTTCTGGGTGCTTCAGTTGATAGGATTCTCAGTTAAAGCATCTCATTCAGCTTCAAAGCTTCTATGAACGGAAGTAAGCTGGATCGTTCTATGGATGGACTTTCTTCCCAGTGCAGCATTCGAAGCATGCAATTCGTTTATTCACGATCGCCTCAACTCGATTAGAAGGTGGTCTGGAGTTTCCTTACATTCCTCAAAGAAACGGCAGCTGTCTTCGTTTTCGCTTTCAATTCTCTCAAGGTGCTCTTTTAACCGGCAGTACTAGTAGCCTGTCAGGAATCCAGTGAGAGCGTGAAGATTGTTTTTACTCAGTGATATAAGGTCTTTTGATCTCCCTTGATGAAAGGCCCTATGAAACATTTCTAATGTCTTAACCCTTGCAGCTGCTCCCAGAGGCTGATCCATTTGGTCCGCTTCCTTATAGGTGTGCGTCGCTATGCCACAGAAAGGTGGTCCTGAAAGCGGAGTCTGTGCTGCCAATTTCGCCAATTGGTACACCTTCATATTACCTACGATCCCTGCGTGTCCCGGTATCCACTGGAGGGATAGTTTGTTATATTTGCCCAGTTTGTCCAGACATTCAAAAACCATACTGAAGCTGATTATTGGTCAGCTCAGTACTTTGATGGGTGCTGCGATACCTACAATTATCAATTATCTCGATGGCTGCTGTAGGACAAGTTTTCATTGCACCCGTGATTTATGTGCACGCCAGGCGCTGTAGTTTGTAGAAAGCTGCTTTTATGTTAGGCTCCTCAACTTCTCTGAACCAGACTATAGATCCATATAATCGGTTCGGTCTTACTATCATGATGTAGTGGGCCGTCTGGAGTTCGCTCTTTCCTCCCTTCTGTTTGTTGGTTCACTACATGGGAAGTGTTTGCTTAGAAGAAAGAGCGCACGCTCCCCTTCTGTGTAGGTAACATCTATCTTTTTCAGAGTCATTTTCGAACTTATTCCGTCATTGGCTATTGCCTTGTGCAGTCTATCGGCGAAGTGATGTTTTCACAGGAAAAATGAATGACCCGTTAGCGTTAGGGATTTTCTTGGAGATTTATACCGAGGAATAATGTTCGTGTACTCCAAAAGGAGGCCCTTGACACTTGACTAATAACTGATGCTTTAGTCATTTGAAAATGTTTCTGGATTAAAATGTCAATCGAATTTCACTTTGCACGAGGTACAAAAGTACACCGAAACACGTTTGTTCGTTTGTTGTTGGACCTAGCAGCGAAAACTGAATATTCGTTTGCCATGATTTGACAGTCCAGAAATTTATTTATTTTTACGGAATTAGTTATTTTTGTATCTAGTGCGCGAAATGCTACTTTGGTGATCGAGATCTGATTTTTTTAACGAGGCGCAGCCGAGTTAACCCTTAACTGGTCGCTAGATTTTATTTCACATAACTGGTCGCTTGGCGTACTTTGTACGCCACTTAAATAAAAATGTATTTTCATAATCGGGATGAATGTTGATACCTCTAAAGTAATGTGAAATCCTAAGTAACTTCAAGTATTGATTTATTAACACATAAAATATTAAATATAATGTGTCGCAATAAAATAAAATAGTATATTGTTATATTAGGAGTAGAAGCTTTACTTTTTTGTGCTGAAGCAGTAG